GGGGGGAGGGGTACAAACTGTCCTCTATTGATGTGAAACCGGACACCTTTATGTCCTCTTATTTTTCACCGCTCGGCCCTCCGCCGCCACCGTCCGCGGGAGCTCACCGTGCCCCCAGCCTCGGGAGGCGCACGGCATTCATGGTGGTGGGGACACGAGGACACGCAGCTGCCGCCGCCGTCCGCGGGAGCTCGCCATGCCCCCAGCCTCGGGAGGCGCACGGCGTTCATGGTGGTGGGGACACGAGGACACGCAGCTTCTTGTCCGCTGTCAGCCCAGGTCCTTTTCTGCGGAGCACTAGAACTAGGGGGCACCTGCCGACAGTCCTAGGTAACCACCTCAAAACTGACGAGAGCGAGGACTTTTTTTGCACGGGGCGTCGTTAAGCGGAGGGACTCACGACCACCACGTTGCTGTTGTCGTGGTGTTGGCCTGACGTGGTCGTGATGACACCTGCACCGTCGCCATGGCGCTGGTGGCGGAGGCGGAGAGCGGAGCCAGGGTCGACGAGGGGCTCGCTGAATCCGTGGCGGAGCCGTCTGTTTATGACCGTTGAGTGGAACGGTTGGAGACGTTTCCTCTGGGATCTCTGTGCCAGGAGCGGCGGATGCCAGAGCAGGTCTTGGCCACCGTTGAGAAACGCTACCTGCGGATCTGCAAAACTTTGCAACCGAACGGCACAGGAGTTCTCCCAGCTTCTCCCGACCCACTAGATCACATTCCCCTCCTAGAGCCAGGGGGATCCCACCTCCCTTTGCTTGCACTGGTAGACCACGTTCTCTTCCACGACTTGGAAAGGCCACGCTTTTGCTCGCCTTCTGCACTCGGGAAAGCTGTTTGCTGCTTGACGTGACGCTTCTGTTAGGGAAGAAACGAGATCGAGAGATTCATGCGTGCAGCTGGATTTGAACAGTTTTTACACATATTTAAGCCAGTCTGAGATAGCAAGGGTTTTTGGTGGACTTGCTGGGACTGTTCTTGTTAATACAGTACCAGAAACATTCCCCAAATGTTGATATTCCTGCATTAAAAGCCATTTTGAATTCTGTAGCATCTGGGTGCCTCTCAGTCCATCCTGCATTCAGGCGGGAAGGGGGCTGACCTGCATTTTACCACGTTCTCTGCCACTGTTCTGTTCGATGTTTGTGCCGTGGTCAAAAATCTCACACCGATCTATGACCGAAGTGATGAAACTAATCTTATACCCTCTCCTCTCTCTCTCTCTTTCTTTCTTTTTTAGCGGATTTTTTTTCCATTCTAAAAACCGTCCAGAATGGCCCGTACCAAGCAGACCGCTCGTAAGTCCACAGGTGGAAAAGCCCCCCGGAAGCAACTGGCCACCAAAGCAGCCAGGAAAAGTGCACCTTCCACCGGGGGAGTGAAGAAGCCACATCGCTACAGGTATTTGGAGCCTGCCGTCTCTGCTGGCACATGAGAGGGAAGGAGGGGTGTCGTTTGCCCTGCCCTTTGCCCTCACGAGAAAGCCGTATCCCCCATATCATGGTACGTGGGAATGCCAGCTGGACCTCCAGGGGCAGGAGCGTGTGGTTGTACTTGAGGGGATCAGAACTCTTTGTGCCGTTGACCTGTCTCGATCTCTTCTTAGTGCCTCAGTTTCCCCTCTCTCCTCCCTGCCTCCCCTGCTCAGATTGGAAGCTGTGTGTGTGAGACCCCAGCAGAGATCTAGGTCCCAAGTAACCATAATTACAAATAAAGAATAGGTTCATAGTTGCTAGTATGCTACAATATAGTGTACAAACAGGAAGCGAAGAATGAACCTCCTATACAGGGTGTTTATAAAGGCCTTGTGCAACTTTTCTGGATTTCATAGGCATTAGGGCTAGAAGGGACCTCGTGAAATCGCCGGGTCCAGCCCCCTGCCCAAGGGGCAGGAAGTCGGCTGGGGTCAGATTGCCCCAGCAAGCATGTATTTTATTAAACTTTAATAACTTTGGATATACACATGATTGAAGCAAACTGTAAACGGCGATTGAAAGCATAATTCATTAAGTTTTTTAGCATGGGGTAAGCGATGCATAGGGTAAAGATCACAATGCAATTCATGCAATCACTCGGCAGCTACTGGAAAATGTTTTCTACGAGTTGGAAAATCAGATGGAAAAAGCTATCGTGAACAATGGCGTTTATGTTGAAGTCTAGAAATTTGAGCTGTATCGTGTTAAAACTTAAAGAATTATGCTTTCAATCGCCATTTGCAGTTTGCTTCTATCGTGTGTACATCCAGAGTTGTTAACGTTTAAAATTGCGCAAGGACTTTATAAACACCTGGATATTCCTGCAGTCACATCTGATGGATCTGCTGTCTAGAAGCAGGGGTTTTGGTGCTGCTCCAGTCCTAGTTTAGAAAGAACTGGTACAAACCCAATGGAAAAAGGTGGTACAAACCCAACAGTGTTGCCCCAGGCACCATCTCCCCATGCTCTGTATGCCTTGGTGATGCCCTGGCAGAATTACAGGCAGGCTCTGGGAGCAGTTCTGCCTTTAGGCCTCTGCCTTTCTGTTGTGGGGTGTTAAAAGCCCCCATTTGGGCAAGGAAGAGCTGGCTCTGACCACAGTGGCAAGAAGCAGTAGCCATCAGCCTATCCATGACTCTCTCTCCCTCTTCCAGGCCTGGCACCGTGGCCCTTCGAGAGATCCGACGGTACCAGAAATCCACAGAGCTGCTGATTCGCAAGCTCCCCTTCCAGCGCCTGGTCCGGGAAATCGCTCAGGACTTCAAGACTGACCTGCGGTTCCAGAGCGCGGCCATTGGAGCCCTGCAGGTTGGTTGCTTCTCTCTCTCTCTCTCTCTCTCTCTCTCTCTCTCTCTCTCTCTCTCGCACACTTTCACCCACAGTCCCCTTCTATCGGCTTGTCTAATTGGTGCCTGGCACTACGAGATCACTTCCAGTGGGGGGAGCCCCAGCCTGCCTCTTGGTCATCAGATGCCTAGAAACTAGAGAGGGAAATGTGCGCCCACCTTCTTGAGTGACCTGAAAACTCCTGCACTAATCCATGGTGCTCAGCATGGCCTGTGGCCCAGGAGCTTAGAAACTAAATTCCCCTCTGGTGTACAGCAGTTGCATTCTTCCCCTGGGAAACTGAAGGCATCTCTATGGAGCTGTGTCCAGGCAGCATGTCTTCCTTCTCCTTTGAGTAATACTCTCATACAGACCGCTTTCCCACAAAGCTCTGGGAGGATAAAAGATGCTATGAAGATCTCGTTAAGACCCAGCAGCGGGCAGGGAGTGCAGCTTTACAACCCCTAGTGCGTGAATGTTGAATCTCGTCTGCGGTGTCTAAGACGGATCCAGTTCACTGGTATCAGTGGGATGTGATGGAGCCTTGGTTACTTCACCAGGGAACGGGTATTGCCGTATTTTTCTATGTACCACATACCCCTGAGTAAAATATGCACCTTGGCTTTGAAAGCCCGAATGAAGGGGAAAAGATCTTTCCTTCGGAGCCTACTAGCAGGTGCAAGGGGGAGGTAGAAGAAGTGTCTGCCACCAGTATCCAGGAAGTCCTACGTGCTTTCCTCTGCAGGCATTTAAGCTGCAGAAACTGCCGTCACTGTATTTTCTAAAATATAAAGTGCACCCCCAATCTCCAGCTGCTGTTGTATGTTAGAAAATATGGTAATTGTTTTTTGCGAAGTGTGTGGCATTACCGTATTTTCTCAAATACAATGTGCACCCCCAATCTCCAGCAGCTGGAGTTTGGGGAAAGGCTATATGTTGTACATTAGAAAATACAGTAATTGGCTCCTGAGAAGCTTGTGATGGAGGCAGGGGTTAATTAGGCACAGAGCATTTAAAAGGCCACTTTTCCAAGTGAACCTGCTCTATTCAGCTTCCAGCTTCTCTCACTTAAAACCTGCCCCCTCCCCTTTGAGACTTGCCCTAGCACCTACTGGGGGGGGGCAGTGTTTTGATGCATCTGAAAGAGATTATGTCTTCCAAACTCTGACTTTGTGTTGTGTTGGCTTCTTTTCCCCCCTCACCCTTGGTAGGAAGCCAGCGAGGCTTATCTCGTGGGTCTCTTTGAAGACACCAACTTGTGTGCCATCCACGCCAAAAGAGTCACCATCATGCCAAAAGACATCCAGCTGGCACGTCGTATCCGGGGCGAACGGGCTTAACTCCGTGGTGGTAGCTATCTCCGCTCATGCCGTGTATTAGACTAGACTCTAGGTTTTTTTTTTCCCTACTCCTGTTTGTAGTGGCTAGCTAGAACAATGGGAAATGTTAAACCTAACTTAGCTCTCAGCGATGAGGAAAAACCCGATCTGTTTGTTCATGAAATACAAGCAAAAAAAAAACAAAAAAAAAAAACCCACAACCAACCAACCAACCAACGACACTTTGAGAAATTTTCAAGACTTTTGGATTTTTTCAGTTTGTTTTTTGTATCTTTTTTTTTTTTTTTTTTTTTCAGAATTGCAAAAAAAAATTTAAGTAACTCAAAGGGGGAAATGTTTTTGAAATATCTGGTTTTGTACACAAAACGGAAGTAGATTTAGGCATAAAACAAAACAAGGAGCTTTTTGTCTTCGGTTTGTAAAAAAAAATATATATAGATAGATATATATATGTATACCTGCAACGATCACTCGACACTCTTTTTTTGTTGTTTTCCTTTTCCTTTGCATTTCCAACGAGCTCTGAACTTGTTTTCCTGTTTCCATGCGTCTCGTGAAACGTGAGTTAGGCCTTTGTAACATTCAGGTTCCTTCGCCCCGCGGTGGTGACAAAAGCAGCAACGAAAAATAAACGTTGAACGATACCCCTTCCGCTTCCCTCTGGTTTTCTACCGTGGAATCGTAGAAAATGAGGGTTGGGAGGGACCTCAAGAGGTCATGTCTAGTCCAACCCAGGTCATCTAGGCCAGCGTTTCGCAACCCAAAGATGGGTGGCAAGAATAGATGAAAGGGTCGCAAACAAACTTTCAAAATGGATCATATTTTACGTACGTTTTTGAAAGGTGCTGCTGGTGCTTCACCATAGATTAACGCTGCACATGCTAATAAATGGGGATCCGGGGTTTGCATTTGCCCTGGGGGGAAAAAAGCAGCGGTGGTGGTTGGGCCGTGGCAGTGGGGTAATGCCGTGGCCTGGTGCACAAATGGCTGGCAGGGAGAGGAGATGAGGGCAGTGCTCCCACCCTGTCCATTACTCCTCGTGCTGCTGGCGTGGGGGTCCTGGTGGCGGCAGCAGCAACGAGTCTCACCACCCACACTGGGCCACAGAGGCAGTTCCTGCCCGTGCCCGTCTGACCAGGCTGCAGCCCTGTGCCCGCTGTGGGCGCGCAGATCTGGGAGGGCACATGCCCCAAACACCCCCCTTGCCCCACACACTGGGGGACTGTGTCCTGGGGGTGGGGGGCAGTGGGTTGGACCAGGGGCTGTCTTCTATTTAAACCTATTTACCAGGTTGGGACCAGCAATCGAAGTTTCCAAATGGGTACAAAACAAGATGAGAACCACTGGCCCAACCCAAGTCATCTAGTTTAATCCCTTTCAGCATCAACTCGGTGCTGCTTCGCCTCTCTTGTGCTTTCCCGATGTCTCAAATCCCGTACACTTTCCGTGATCCCTTAATTCATGAAATACCAACCCTCCACCAACACTTTGAGAAATTTTCAAGACTTTTGGGTGCTTTCGTTTTGTTTTTTTAATATAACTTTCCTGTTGAGATGTCTCTAATCCTGAATACCTTCCGTGAACACTTATTAAGCTTGAGTTCAATCTTGATAGGCTCAAGGTGCCTCTTGTTAGACTCATGGCACCCTTTGCTAATGCCAGCTTTTTGCTTTCACTTGGGTTTTGACTCTGGAAGAATACTAGTGCTATCACAAAATCATAGAAAATGAGGATTGGAAGGGGCCTCAGGAGGTCACATCTAGTGCCACCCCCTGCTCAAATGCTTCTGTTGACAGGACAGGATGGTTTGGACGGTCTGGATTCCTATTTGAAATCTCCAGGTTTCCCTTTTGAATTGCATGTTGGTGCTTCCACATCTAAGGGTGCTACTGTTGCACCGTGCCCTGTGGCACCCTGGGGAGGATCCCAGGGCCCCCTGGTTGAGGGTCACTGTATTGAGCCATTCAGATGCCTCTGAAGGAAAGCGTCTTTGTCGTCTCTTCCAGACAAGACGCTGCGCAGATGGCAAGTTGGTATCAAACCTGCAAGGGTGTGGACTGGCGAAGGGATGGTCTGTCTTCATGCACCTCTCGAGGATGCAGCAGGGAGAGCTTCGCTGAATCGTTCAGGCTGTGGGATGCAGAAGACTCAGACCCCTGCTACTGTCTCAAGCAAATGGCTTCTGCCAGCCGGCAGCAGGGTCTTTGCACTGTGTTTAATTCATATTTCTGCCGTGCTTTGAACGCCTTTGCTCGCAGGACCCCCTCCCACCCCCGTCTCGAGGAAGAGAGGTCGTGAAACGCTGCCCTTCGGCCGGATGAGGATTTCCCATTGCAGCGTCTCTATCTCAGCTGGCTTCTTCCACTCAGGCCTGACCTGCCTGCTGCTCTCACCGATGCTCTGCCCCTCCCGGCCTTTCACTTGTATCTCGCTGCCTTCCCCAGACATTGGGTAAATGCGCGTCTACAGCCAGCGCTCCTTCCCCAGGCGCTCGTTGCAGGGGATGCTGTTTGAGACCAACGTGCCCTGGACTCTTCACTTCCACCACACCATCCCAAAGAGCTCAGAAGCTCCTTCCTCACCTTTTTAATGCCCTTTAGAAAAAAGCAGCGCATTCAAGCAAGGAAGTCCTTGATGATCCCACGCTTCTTTGGGCAAATGTGATCTCTTTTATTAGACCAACTAAGTAGCTGGGAAAATTGCTCTTTGCATGCTTTTGGGCACAAGGGAGAGACCTTAGACCAACATAACTGCATCCAATACCCCCGAAACTTGATAATCCCTTTTCTTTGCTGACCTGCATCTGCCAGCGACACTTTTCCCCTCCCCGCGCTTGGTTTTGGCGTCTCTGGCAGCTTGCACTTCTTTTTAAGGACGCCTCTTACAAAGCATTTTTGCTCCCCTGCAAAATTTTGGGCGTGAGGGGCTGCTTCTCTCCTCCTACCTCCCTCGCCCCCGAGCTTCACGGCCTGAAGACTTCAAGGCAGAGAGCCCCGAGTTTGTACCCGAAAGCTTGCAAAGAACAATTTTTCCAGCTATTTAGTTGGTCTAATAAAAGAGATCGCATTTACCCAAAGAGCCTTGTCTGCCAAGTTCTTATCTGAGAGCTTGGGGAAGGGAAGACAATAGCCAGCGGGATGAAACAATTTGCTCGGGAGCTGTTATCAGGTGACTTATCCCCCCACATCCAACACCCTACGCAGAGGAGATAAAAATGCTGAAGATGTTCCAAGCCTCACACCAAAGCAAAGGCTGACGAGGGGCTTTTAATTGGGCTTCATGAGTCCAGCGAAGCTGAAAGCAAGGCAGCGACAGGGAAAGAACCCAGGCATCCCGGCTCTGTTCCAAAAAAGCCAAGGGCCGGGCGTGTAGAGGGGTATAAACCCGGCTGGGTTTTAACCCGGCACCAAGTGAAGGTAAAAGGGCTGCCACACATCCATCGGCTGCAAGTAATGATGGGCATGGGGGTGGGCAATCGTATCTGCCCCTGCGCCGGGCTGTCACCCTGGTGCCGGGGCGCCGATCACCTTGGAGGCGCTGACTTGATTGCTTCTGACACGTCCGCATTAAATAAAACACCAGCCTGGAGCCCTGGTTGAGTCCCTGTAAGCAGGATTACTGGGCTGGGGTCACGGCTGCTTTCTTTGCCCCCAATGGAGGGACGGGCACGCGGGCATCTGAGGACGCGGCGTTCCCCTCCCGGCCCGGCCCATGAGGGTTTGGACAAAGCTTTTCGTAGCTCTTGGCAGTGGGTTTTAGGCTCTGAACTGGGAATATACAGGACGCCTAGGTTCATTTTCCAGCTCTAGGAAGGGAGGGGGCTGGAGAGCGGCCCCCCGCCGGGCCGGTCTGGGTGATGTAAGGAAACTTTGACGAAACCTGGGTGTTTCTAGTGTGTGGAGCCGCACTGTGACTTGCAGGAGACTCCCCGCTGCCTGTCAGCGGTAGAGGGGCTAGGCCATACAGCTGGGACTCCCGATGGGGTCCAACGGGCCAGCGATCTCCTTCCCTGCATCCACCGCAGCTTTAAATACTGTATTTCCTGGCATACAACCTGCCCCGGATTAAACAGCACCCCTTGAAGTTAAAAAAGACTCTTTCCCGGCAGTAACTGGGTGGCAGCAGCTTTTACCGTATTTCTCACATGTGCTGTGCCCTCCAATGTCCAGCAGCTGGGTGGTTGTACCGGAAGTACGGTATCTTGGGCTGGAGATCCCCGTGTGCGTGTGTGTGTGTTCAGTCCCCTGAGAAGGGGGTGGTCCCGGTCCAACTCCCAGCTTGTGCATAGGAGACCGCCTCCTCAGGCCCCCCCCAAGCCTGGGGTAGGGTGGGGTGGATGGAGTAGGCTGGGGCTAGATGGGGAGGCCTGTGCCTGCAGCGGGGTAATGAAACAGCCCCCCTCAAGCTGGGCCCTGTTGTTATGCCTAAAATGACTCGGGGGGGGGCGTATTTTACCCGGGGAAGCCCAAGGGGAGGGAGGTGGCTTTCTCTGCTCAGCCTAGTGGTTAGAGCTGCTCTCTGACACCTGGGTTTTCTGCCTCCCCTTTACCTCAGGGTTAATTGTTCTATTCTGAGGCCTCCAAATGCAGCTGCTTCTGGGGTGGGGCGGGGTGGGACGGCTCCTCAGAGAAGCCCCCTTTGTTCGCTGGGCGCCCGCGGCCCCTCGTGGTACCTGCGTGCCCGCCACCGGCTTAGGCCTGGCTGAGGGCACCACTGCCCCGTGCCAGTCATGAGGCCAGGGGCACCAACAGCAGAGATGCCTGGGTCCCTGCCCCCCCCGCCCTGTAGGATGGGGTGGGCAGCCCTGGATGTCTGGGTCCCTGGGGGACGAGCGGCTTGGGGG